GAGGGTGCGGAGGAACGCTGTGCCAGCTTAGTGCCGCCAGGGAGAAAGGTGGCGGCTTTTCCTCCCCTCCGGGTTTCGTCTGCTGCTCCCCCTCCTTACGTGGGACTTCAGGTGACCCTTAGGAGGACAGTAATCCCAGGGAATCCCTGGAGGCTTCGCTTTAAGACTTGCTTTTGGCTTTGCTGGAATGGGGTGTCGATAAGTTCATCTGCCAGCCCACTGTGTACAAAGAAAAGCGGGGTTTCTTGGTTCCTGGCGCTGGCAGTTGCCGGTATGCATGGACAGGTTCTGGCAAAGGAGTGCCTGTGTGTAAAGGGATAAAACTGGACGACAGTGATGTCTGCACTGTAACTGCTCTTCTCTAATTTGGAAGCATGTAGTGTTTGAATTTTACAGTTCCTGTCTACAGTTTTTATATAGCATAATAAATATTTGTACTTATTGTAGCTTGGCAGTCCTGGGGAGAGGAATAGCCCTGTTGAAAGATTTAAATTCAGTTTCTCTTCTGGATTAACAGTGAAAGCAAAGCATTTGACGTACGGGCTAGTTAACATATTTTAGTGTAGTGGTACAAGAATATGTGTGGGGTTTTTTTTGTTTTTTTTTTTTTTTTCTCCTTGTTTCCCTACTATCCTGAAATGCGCTGGGGAAATTCTTGGAGATCTCCAATTTCCCATAAGAAATAATGCATGAGTACGGTTATTTTTGAGTAATGCTATCTTGTGCTGATAGCTTTTTGCAAAAAGTGTAACTTGTTACTTCCCAATAACTTTTTAGGGCTTTTTTTTAAAAACCTAAATTGTTTCTTTTCTGCAGTTTAGAACAACTTTAGAGAGCTAAAATATTAATTTGGTGTTAAATTAGAAAAATGTAAATATCCCAAAATCTTAACTTCTAAGGTTTTCTAAAAATCTCAGCTTTATCTTTCACCTTGTGTAGGCTATTCTGGTGGTAATGGTAGTAAAGATTAGTAAGATTGAAATTGCTAAAAGCTTATCTTACATTTGCATCTGAGTGGATGAATCTTGATGATAATGTGTTCCTGTTGTCCAGCTCTGACTGGAGGATGGGGATTTAATCCCTGATATGGGCAGAAGAAGGAATAAAATGTTGTTTGGGGTCTTCTTGTAATACAAGATGAATAATATGTACTGATAACTGTAGTATTAAAATTTTCATAGCTAAACCACTATACAGCTTCAGACTACTACCACGAAGGGAAAAAACCCAAGTATTATTTCTTGCAGATTACTTGTATTATGCTTCTGATAGTCATCACATCTCATTTTTAGTTGCTTGTATTGTTGGTTGGCCTTTAAGTTAGGGGCAATGACACTAGAATGATATTAAGTGGTAAATGTCAATTTTAAACTGACATTTTAGACATGCTGGTTTGAAAATACAGCACAGCAATTGTTTTCTGTAATGTTTCTAGAGTTTTCTTAAGCATTTCTGTAGCCCACAGAAACCAATAATTTGAATCTTGAATCCAGTATTTTTCTGGGGATGTGTGTTCCCAGGGATGTTAGATTTAAAGGAATGCGTGGACTTGCAGACCTTTGCACTTGACAGAGTATTCAGTTAGTTAACTAATCTGTTCAGGCTGTTCAGTTTGTAACAGTAGTTTATGCAATGAGATTAGACTGTTTTATCATTTCAAATGACTGAATGTTCATCTTAACTTGAAAATATTTTTGGAATTTTTTTTTTTATGTAGGCTAGACTCTACATGTCGATTATCGAAGATGTGATTGAAGGTGTGCGGGAACTCTTTGCAGAGGAGGGTTTAGAGGAACAGGTTCTGAAAGACTTGAAGCAGGTTTGTTGGGCTCCCCTGCATTAATAGAAGTTGTGTGTGCTTTTTTTTTTTTTCTTTTGAAGTGATGTACCTGCCTGTTTCTTTGCCCTCCAAAACATGCAAACTTTTGCCTTTTGCCATCCTGTGAGTGATGTGTTGGGCTGCTAGAATTCGAAGTTCAGTAATGATTGTTACCATGTTTATTGGATAGAATCTGTCAATTTACTCTTGGGAAAAACTAGGAATACCTAATTATCATTTTAGATGTGGTTTGTTTTTAAAGCTGATATCTGTTGACCTTCGTTATAATCTTTCTGCAGCTTTGGGAAACCAAGGTGATGCAGTCTAAAGCAACAGAAGGCTTCTTCAGACACAGCCACCATTCTCCACAGTTTACCCTACAGTTGCCGCACAATTTTCACCGCGTTCTGCAGGCTTCAGCAGGTCAGATGTTGTGGAACACAACATATACAATTTAAGAATAGCTCAGTGATTCAAGAGCCTTTTTGGAAGACTTGCAGGTGCTGCAATAATCTTGGTTTTGTGATGCTTATGTGTATCTCTGTCATGATGTGGAACAGTAATTATTTGAAAGTGGGATTTGACTAATAAAGGATGAATTAAACTTTGATAAGCTAATGCAATTATGTCTACAAGCTCTTGATCCGCTGCTTATTTCCAGTAGCAAAACGCAAAGAGAATTTTAGCCTTCTTGTCTGCAGTCCAGAAATGTAGCCCTTCAATTGCAAATTTACCAGTAGCGTTAAGCTTTCGCTTCCTCTTTTAATATGAGGCATGATGTGTGCAGAGGTTATATGGCATGTTTGTGCCATGCAGCTCTGCTGTCATGTTGGAGTTTAATCTGGTTCTGCACTTGTTAAAATGTAATCCTTTGCTCCAACAGAAGAGTGGGATATTTTGGGGAGTGTTTTAGTTTGTCTTTCAGTTAGTTTTCCTAAAAGCAGTGTTCATGTTGCAGAGTACTTGACTTTCACACAGCCTCTGACATCAGGAGGTATCCTTCTCAATCAAGTCCAGCTGACCACTGTGGTAATGTCATGGTAATGTGTAGTGCTCAGCTGAGGCTTCTCCCAGTGCGAGAGGCCTTTAGGAGCTTTTCCCATAAAGGACAAAAAACATAGGAGATGATTTAATGAAAATCTGTGTCATAGTGCACTTCAGGGTTGGGCAGGCACTCTTCATCTGTTTTTTTTTACAACCTTCACAGTTGAGTGGACTGGTTTTGGAGATATGTTTTATTTATTCCATGTGGTTAAAGGGAATATGCTTTTGGGTTTATTTCTATTGGAGGTTTTATATTTAATGAGCTGGACCTTATTACTCCTAAGTTTTGGAACAATGTGTTGAAGCCAGTGAACTTTTTTTTTGTTAATGGGATTTGAATTGTCCTATGGCTAGAGATTTTCAAAGTAGTTGGGGCTAGCTAAATTGCTTGCTGCCTGTCGCCTGGGAAAGTTTTTCCTTTGATTTATCTTCTCCCACTGAAGTTAATATGGAGTACTTTTGAAAATCCCACCCTACTGTTCCTACTATTAGCACCACTGGATATGCTCTGGTACAGAAAAATACTTGCACATGTTCCTTGTGTTGACAAGGCAATACGTTTTATCTGTATATTCTTGGTCATGTTAAAATGGTAGCATTGCACATCTGTTATTCTAGTTGATGTAATAAATAGAAATGGCATGCTTAATTTTTACAGTGCAACTTAAAACAGATAAAATATTTTAATAGAAATGCTTAAAACAAACAATCTCCAAGACCAGCTTTTAGAAAAATCTAAGTTTTATAAATTTAGAATATAACCTTTCCCCCCTGAGTACAGCATAAGCTTGAAGCAACGAAGGGAAGTATAATGAAGAACCTTATCTAGATGTGCTCACTTGTTTGTTGGTCTAATGCTTTAGTTTCAGCAGTGTTTGCTGTAAATTACTGAAAGATCAACTGTGCTTGAGAAATCCACGTTTATTAAACTTTTTTTTTTTTTTTTGTATAGCATCTTTAGTCATCCCAGCTGGCAGGGGTTTTCAGCATTTCACGGCGGCAGCAGACCTGGTATGTTGCTGTAGTGACACTTCATCTCAATTTTAAATATCCTAAATGATTAAGTTTGTGTGTTGTTAATAGGCTTAAGGGGAGGCAAGTATTAAATATTTTCTATGCATTTAGAGACTGAAAAAGTAACATTTCTTGTGACAGTTTAATTTGTCTGATATGGTGTAGTAGGCAAGGGAGCAGGAGTCCTGCTGAGAGAAACAACAGCTGAAGAAACTCAGTGATGTTACTTCTAGCCCCCCACCCCCTTTTTTTTTTTTTTTTTTTTATGAAACCCGTGTGAAAATTAAGAGTCTGCAGCAGAGGGAGAGCTGTAACTCTGCTGCTTCTGTTTGAGCAGTGAAAAAGGATGGGGATCTACCAGTTGGTTTTGCAAGCAGTGCAGCCAGAAGTGTGTTGGAAGAAATGGCTGCATTTAGCCCATAGAATGGAAGAGTAGTGGAAATGCACGTTTACAGATCCATCAGATCCATTTTTTTTTTATTACAGGGTATTAAAATAATGCATGGTTGGGAAATGCTAGCACTACTGAAGCTGGCAGCAGCATTATCTGTGAGGCATAGAAATCATCCAGAAGAAAATGAGTGTTTTTAGAGTTGACAGGTTCTGAACTCAGCATGGCAAAATTTGTTTGGGGAGAGGCTATTAATTGCCAGAGCTTGATGAACTCAGTGTGTGCCTCCTGAGCCTCTGGCTAACTAGCTTGCCAAGCTGAAATATATATAATATTGGGAAGATGTGTGTGTAATGTGCAAGTTTCCTGATTTAAAATTTGGATTTCCCCAGAACAACTAGTTTGAAAGGGAGCTGTATAGTCAACTCTTTGCTTTCCAGGAGAAAAAGAGAATGTGAAGTGATTTCATAGGCCTAGGCAAGTAGTCTCTGTTGTGTGGAGTAATGCATAATCTTAGGTTAAAGTGGCTCTGAGTGGGAAAAATACCTTTCTGGATGCTGTGTACATGGAGGGGGTACAGGAAAGTGTTCTGTTAACAAAAAAGGAATGTGATAACTGGAAAATACGAAGCACTCAAGGCAAGTCATTATCCTGTCAATACAGAATACTCCTTATCTGTCTAAATCTCAAAAGTCTGAAGCAACTCTTCAGTAAAGATGATCACAAAAAGGCCCTCATTCATCTTTCATCTGGATATGTTACATGGGACATTTAAGGCCCTAGGAAATAAAGTATGCACTATTTCTTAATAAAGCTCTTGTGTATCTAGGGCGCTTCACAAGTGGGTGCGACTCTCACTCTCCCTTCGGGTATTGCTTATCCTATACATGTACCAGCTGGAGTGACACTACAGACAGCATCTGGTAAGACTGAAGAGGAGATGTAAAATGTTTCAGTGTGTTGACTGTATGTGAGTACTGAAAGATGGTGCTGAGTACAGTAGATAAAACAAACATGAAGCTAAAGTATAGGTGGGTAGAGCCAGTTGTCTTCTTCGTTTGCAGTTTGTGTTTGTAATTGCTGCATGGTGGAAGTAATTACATTGATTAGTTAGTGTGTCAGTTGTGTACACTTGTAAGTTCAGTTAACATTGGCTGGCAGGTGATGCCTTTTTTGTTTTACAACTATTCACAAATGTGTTCCCTTGTTAGTCCATACATAGGTATCTCCTTCTCCTATATGAGGGACAATCTTCCATGTTTTAAAAAGGTAAAGACATTTTGGTGCTTTAGAATCAAACTGATTTTTTTTTTATTCAAATAAAATCCAACCATCCATTAACCTTTTTGCTCACACTCCTGCTGATAAAACACTTGTACAAAAATGTGCTTGTACTGCTTAGAGTGTGATGAGTGGAAGTCTTATTTCAGTCATAGATTGACTCTTTCCTCAAAAAGCTGTTCTTTGATGAGAACTAATATCCTAGATATCTATTTCAGATATAATTCCTAAGGTTTTGAGAGCTGTAGGCTGGTATCAGTGACTCTGTGTGTGTAAGCATGTGTGTGGGGAAAAGAATAATTAAATGAAGTTGGGAACTTAGCTCTGGCATCTTGAGTCTAACATTGATGATAATAACTTTAAGGATTCAGTATTTGGAGTTGTTCTCATACAATGAGAGGATAGATAAACTAGGATTTATTTTTTTTAAACTGGAGGTTTTTTCAGAGGAGATTCCTAAAGGTTCTTAAAGGAGTGAACTGTCCCTGTAGATATAGAATAGCTTACTGTTTCATCTTGTGTTCCTTAGTTTCTGAAATGACATGGAAACAAATTAAAAACAGGATTGTCCTTTTTTTTTAAAAAAAAAAAAAATTTCAGTATGTAATGATTGAACTTACTGCCACAGGGTATTGTGGAGGCCAAAACCAAAAAGCGTTATTAAACATGGTCTGACTCAACTGAAGAAGCCTCTGAACACTTAATTTTCAAAGGCTGAAATTGTGCTTGGGGAAAGTACTGTTTTGTAAACATCCTGCTTTGCATAGTTTGCCTGAGCATTTGTATTAGTGGTAACAAGACAGTGGCCTGGATGAACCTGTAGTTTAACCTGCTGAAGAAGTTTTTAACTCTTCTCTTTGTAGGGCACCTTTATAAGGTAAATGTGCCCGTTCTGGTTACACAGGCCTCAGGAGATCCAAGTATTCTACATCATCCTGTTCAGCAGATATTTCAGCCCCTTGGGGAACCTTCAATTCTGCAAGCCAATGTTTCCAGTGTTGCACAGGTGAATGCATCTTCTGCGCAGGCAGCTGCTGAAACATTGCAGCCCCAGGAGACTGCTGTCCAACAGACCATGGAATTTCAACCAAATGTTATGGAAAAAAGCCATCTGGAGAACTCTGCCGATACTACATTGGTCCAGCAGCCTTCTGTGAGTCAGCAGCAACTTGCAACTAATGCAGTGTTGAATCAGTGTGCAGACTCAACAGAAAAATCCCAGCATGGCGATCTTCACACAGCTGTGCTTACTCCAGAATCCTCTGAACGGTTTTCTCCTCCTGAATCCTTGGCAAACAACTCGAGCAGTGTACTGCTGGATATGGAGGGGCAGTTAGACATTGAGCCTCAGGAGTTGGAGCAACAGCAGGTGCCTGATGATATCATTGAGCTGATTATCATGGACAAAGGTTTGGATGATAACACTGTTCTGAAAGATCAAGACAGCGTTGCTTCCTCTGACAAGGTAAGACCTTTTATTTCACAGCTGGTGAAAATACTTCTGGGTCGTTTGAAGTATCATATGAGATGTGAGCAAACTCATCTGTAAATGACAAGTAGCACCTCTAAATTATACTAATAAAAATTATTATAATTTTAAAGTTCATTCTTGAGCTTCTTTTGAATAGCAGTAGCTGATCGCTTATTTTTACATTAAGAATTTGTCACAAATATGGCTGAAATACTGGGATTGAAAAGAATGTCAATCTAAAAATTGCTAAAATTGTAATGGATAGATATAGTGTATTCTTAGACTTCTTGACTGTTTTTGGGGATAATAGTTTTCCTCTTTTTGCGACTGAGCAGACATGAATGACCCTTTGAGAACTTCCATGTCATTTTGACACTGAATCTGCATATGGGTACTGGCCAGTTGTGGGCAAATTGCTTTTGCAGTGTCAGCTGAGATTAGTTTTGACTTGTAATGTGTGAAGAGCATTTAACTTGCATTGAGAATGCATATTGAGTAGGAAAAGTCAGATTTTTATAAGTGAAAATCTGCTGGAAGGAAACGTATTTCTTTGGGAAAAAATCTGAACAAACTAGAATTCAGCTAGAGCTGTGTGGAAAACTTGAATGATTTTAATTAACAGGCCACTTTCCTGATCTCACCTAATATTTTTTCCAGAAATTGTTTGCAGATGTTTTAAGTTCAGGCTGGCTTGCTGACTTTGAGTTGTAGCGCTTATATGTGATTGAGGCAAACTTATTACATGCACATGTAATGAAATAATGAGAAATGACTGTAAATAGAAAGCACGTTATGTTGCTCATCTGAACTTTGATGGCAGGATGATGAAGAGTGTCCATGGTGAGAATGGAAGGTCAAAACAAAGTGTTGTTTTCTTGAACTAGAAAGTGTATGTGGATGTGAATTAAGTGCTACAGGAAAGATTTAATGATAAGCCAAACATGGCTGAAAGCTTAAAGCCCTCATGCTCCTGTGAATGCTCTTTTTAGGAATTCTAGCATTTTATGAACAGCAAGTCAGAGTACTGAGATATTTACTGTCTCTCAGCTTTTTATATCTTATTTAAATAAAGCATTTTGAGTTGAGGGAGAGGGATGAATTAATCTTGACTTTTATTTCAAAAATGAAAAATGCTATTTTTTGGGGTAGGGGAGTAGCTTGTTTCCTTTTTTCTTTTTTTTTTGTCTGTTTCATTTTTGGAGTTTTATTTGCAACAGAAATTTTAAAGACCTGCTCAACTGTCTTTTTCTTAAAGTTGTTTGAGTACAACAGTGTTTAAAGAAGAGTCTAAGAAAATGTCTTTCTATATTGCAGAGAAATAGTTGGCATGGATTCTATTTAAGATTAGGTGTAAGAATAAGATTTGCAAATGTACTTAGGGTTTAGAAGCAGACCAGGACTTGAAACTCTCATTTTAGTGCCCCAGTCTTGTTGCTTTATTAAACAAAAATCTCAGGCTTTGTACTGAACAATGAAAGCTATGTGGTGTTAATTCACAAGCTGTGACTGGTCTCTCTTATTCCTGTCAGATGGAACTTACTGAGCAGATGGAATCCAATTTACGATCAGAGAAGGATATCTGCAGTGACATTGAAGGCATAATTCAGCTAGATGGTACTGGTGACGTTTCTCCCAAGGAAGAAATACCACATATAAAAGATAGAGAAGAGAATGAATTCATTGGCATTATTGAATCAGAGGATCTAAAAGTTCTGGAGGATGAGGAAGACAAGGATGAAGACTGTGACAGTATTTCAAACACGGAGGCTAGCAGCAGTGGTGGTGATAATGAAGAGCCCCAAATAGATACAGTTGAGGAGGTAATTTTCTTTAAGTGTTGTGAAGTACATTGAAATAGGGGTCTGTCTTGACTGTTGAACTATTGAATGCAGAACAATTCCCACTAAGCTTAATGCAGAGAATGCATAGTTAAGTTACCTGCCTCTTGAGATGGGAGGTACTGCTCAGAAATAACTTAAGAGCTCATTGGGAGAAGCATGGACAAATGAGAGATGTTGAGAAGTCATTTGTTTATTGGATGAATTAAAATGGTTGATTACCAGAATTAAAGCTCCATGGTAAAACCCTGGCCTCAGTGGAATGGAGTTCTGCTTTTTATTACGTAAGATTGGGGTACAAATCTAGGTTTCTCTTCCTTCTGAAGGACCTCAGGGGATTATACAGAGAAGGGAACAGTGGGATACAAGTATGTATGTTTCTTAGAAGGCTTTTCTTAAAGATGTGCAACTTTGTATCCTAGAGATTCACATGATAATCAACTGGTAGCATCTGGTCTTCAAATAAATAACAGTTGATTTAGTATTCCAGTTACTGGGTCAGCTTTGTCAGTCAGAAGTCTTGCTTTTTGACCTCTGTTTTTGTTTAGGGTGGTTTTGTTTTTGAGAACATAAGCATGTAAAAGTGCTTATAAATGAGCTCTGTGCAACATGGTCTTCATAGCCTCTAGGTCTCGATTTCTGCAATGGTAACCTTTATTGTTCTAGGTGTGTTTAATGTCATGTATATTCAATGTTGTTCTGAAAGAATGTGTAAAATACAATTATCATCTCTAGGACCCCTTAAATTCTGGTGATGATGTCAGTGAACAGGACATTCCAGACTTGTTTGACACCGACAATGTGATAGTTTGTCAGTATGACAAGGTACAGTATATAGTTTTATCTTTGTTCCTCAATCATTCTAAATAGTATCTTCAGCAAATCTCTGTCTGGTCTACTGTCAGTGCCTTTTAAAGAAAATCTAATGCTGTAATAATTGTTTAAATTACTTATTTAGCTGACAATAGTCTGATGGCTTACCTGCTGAAATGAGGGTAAAGAACAGGTTCATAATGGCCCATTAAAGGGAAAGGAAAGGGGACTGAATCGCAAAATTAAGATTTGTGAAGCTGCAAAAGCTTGTGTGTTTCCTTAACTTTTAAGTAACATCAACAGCTCCATGGATGTATGTATGCATTTTCAGCCATGAATTAAGACTTTCGAAATGGGTAACAGAAAGAGGAGTGTGTGCGCTTTCTTTTACATTTTTTTTGTCTTTGAAGTGCTTCATGAGAGATTTTCATCCCAGAATTCTGTTATGCCTGAAAAACAAAACAGTTGTTAAGGGCCACTTTGTCCTCCTTCAAAATGATGTTGAATTTTAAACATTAAAATGAACTCTCAAAGATCAAATTAAGTACTTCTAACACTTCTATGGTTTTGGACACTTATGTCAGTAGTTTAAAAGTTGACGAAACAAAGTGCATATTTTATTTTGAAATAAATGTGGAAAACTAATGTCTTTAGTTTGCTTAGGAATGTACCTTGGCTTTTATTCTTTCAGAAGTGTCTAATGATAATTTTTTTGTTTGTGTTCAAATAGGCCTGCCTTGACAGTGTCTGTGTTTTAGGAAACAGTGAGCTGCTAAGAAAATTGTCTTCAGTAAAGTGTAACAGATTGTTTCTGAAACTAGTTATTTTGGAAGTTGTATTTATAGCCATGTGTGTAGAAAATGCATCTGAAATTAAGCCACGCTGTCTGTATTGTATTGAAAAGATACACGAAGTTTTGAAGCTCTGTAACTCAGTTTAGTGGATATTGTTATCTACAGCAAGTTTTGTCTGTAATAACCTGAAAAATTGGTTGAAAAGTTTTAAAAACTCTTAGGAAGGTCAGCATTGGACATGTCTTGTAGGAAATTTAAGGTCGGGTGTAGGCCTAGTAGAAAGTAGATGGAAAGTTACCTGTTAAATTACCTTCTTACCTATAAAAGAATGTTGTCAGCAAAATTATTGTCCCGTTTCTTTTGTTTTTTTCCCCTCCTTTTTCTTTCTGGACTTGAATAGACTGATGCTTAAAATCCAAGGAATCTTCTAGAGATGTTTAAAATTCCTTCTTCTAGTATTAAACAAAAACTTTCTGCAGTATAGATCATTTTGCAGGCCTTTTAAAAAGAAACAGAATATGCAAATTCTTTCGTATTGGTTTGTATGGCAGTATTTGCTTGTAAGCAAAGTTTTCCTGCTTTTAGCCTTTTCTGAATGTCTCTGTGCAGGCAATATTGCTTTGCAGTGTGTATGGGAGCAGGAAACCACTGCTTTTCGGTTAAGCCATAGTTGTTTGCAAGGTGCAGCGTATTTTTGGACTGATACACTCATGAAACTGCTTCATTATTGTCTTGTTTTCAAAAGATGTTGAGCTGTCACACAGCTACCTTTGCTTTTAGTTTTTTTGGTGGGGTGTGGGTGTGTGCTAGGATTCAGGAGGCTGTTCCCTTGAGAGGGCAGGGAGTTCATTATGAACAACTGAAATCTACTGCCTCTATTGAATATTTGTGGTGTGTTCAGTGGCAGTATTTCACATGTTTTGGGCTGTCAGGATTTTAAAAGAAAAGGTTTGTAAATCAAGTTATGCTTAAAAAACCTTTTTTTTTTTTTTTTTAATGGATGGTCTAATATGTTTGGGGTAGGCATTGATATTTTTTTTATTCCCATCAGATTCATCGAAGTAAGAACAAATGGAAGTTCTACTTAAAAGATGGAGTGATGTCCTTTAAGGGTAAAGACCATGTTTTTGCAAAAGCCATTGGAGATGCAGAGTGGTGAAACCTCACTGAAGTATGTACTTTCTTTAAGACCGTGGCTTTATTCGCTTACGAACCTGCTGTGAAACTAGACTTTCTATTGTTTTGCCATAAGAAAACCCCACAAATCAACAAAACAACAAAGCTGTGATATAAATATGCAAAATCAGTGTTGATAATACATGCAAACTAAAACCCTGTGTTGTTAGCTACTCAGCTGTCTTTGCTGTTCTTTTCTGGTTATTTCATGGCTTTTCTACCCAAGAAACATCATTGGCATGCATAAAGACTGAAATGTTGAATCTGTTAATAATTCAAGAAAGTAATGGAATACTAAGTGACTAGATTTAAGTAAATTTCAGTTCCGTTGGTTTTCCTTCCACTTTTTAAAATAAGAGCTAAAGTATGACTTGAAATACAAAACTACACAGTTGTTGGTGATGCTATGTGTTTCTTTTCAAAGGCTGCCGAGTTTAAAAAGGAAAAAAAAAAGAGCAACATCTGTGCAAGTCTGAAACCTGTGGCTGTTTCAGTTGTGTATTTCTTTCTGCTCTTTCCTTCCTTCCCTTGCTTTTTTTCTTGTTGCTTTGTGGGTTTTTGACTTCAACTTAAAGGCAGACACTTTAGATGTAAGTCAAGAAATGGGTGAAACACACTTGAGCTCTCAATGTATGAGAATTATTATTGTTTATTCTATACCCTCTATTTCTACTGAGATGCAATGAACAGTGTGATTTAACATTAAAATGTGATTTATTTTCACTGTCAAGGCAAAGTCTTTAAGTTTTGCTTCTGTACATATCCACTACATTCTAGGAGTACAGACCAGTAAGCTGTGAATGATACAAATTGTGCATCGTAATAAAATGTCATCTCATGTACGTTTCTAGCAGAGTTGTTTCTGTGTTCCCTAAATATAAACTTTGCTTAGAGAAATGTGTACAAGCCATGTATGTGACAGTAGCTCACCCTGCTGTGAGAACTGCGTTCCCAGCAGTCCTCAATGTTAGCTTTTTGTTTGTGTCTCTAGAAGTAGAGGTCAGAAAGAAGTTCTGTGCCTATAGGCCTGGGCCCTAGACCTTGAGAGCTGCAGCTTTCCCTTGGCTAGCTCCTGTTCCTTGAAGGGCAATCCTGGAAACTAAATGGTAAAGCCTCAGCTAGGCCAACTCAGAACAGGATAATCCTGCTAGAAGGGCAGTGCTACATGCAAGCGTATGCCACCTGTTCCTTGTGGCTGATGCTTTTACATCTGCTAAAAGAAGGCATCACAAAACATTTTGGTTATCTCTGCTCCCTGGGAGGATGCAGAGGCCTTTAGAAGAGAAGAAAAAGAAAGGGGAGAGTTGGAGAGAAGGAATATATAGAAGAAATGGGGTGGGGAGCCAACCCTTGTTCATAATGGTACAAACCCTTGTGCTGATGGCATAAACAATAGAGATGCTTCTCTCAGGAGAAGGTTTTTAAAAAGATTCAGTTTCTTGCATGCTTTTTTTTTTTTGCCATGCCTGCTGGTGTCCACTATCAAAGACAGGACACTGAACTAGAAGGCCTGACCCAATTAATTTCTTTTGTCTTTTGTAGATACTGCTGCTGGGATGTGAAGAATTGTGTATTTGGAGACAGTTAAAATTTTACAGTGTACAATTTCTTTTTCCCCATTCAGCTGACTTGCAGCTGCACTGGTGCTACACTTCAGACCCATAAATGGACAGAAAATGCAGCTCTTGGCACATGATAGATGCTTTTAGATTTCAGTACCCTCTCACAGGCTCCCAGGTGTTCACGCTCCATAAATGTGTAAATTATGAACTGTGGGACCATCTTCAACTTGGGCAGCATAGCGATGCTTCAGCAAAGACTGCAAGCAGAGGTGGTGCAGGACAGGAATCCCTGGGATATGACTGGATATGCACCATTCACTAAGCACCATGCAGCCTCTGTTGCTTCTAAGAATGGGACTTGTTTTTTCTAGTCACTATAAAATGAAGTGGCTGAAGAGTACCTAATTTTTAGCTAGTTTTAACATGGGCAGCTTTTTCCTCTTTGCTGAATCTTTCTGCTTGTGGTGTTAAAGACTGCCTCTGCATGAAGGTGAGGAGTCAGAGCTCTGAGCATCCTTGTAACTGCCCATCTCTTTGTAACTGCCCATCTCCTCTCCCTGTCCCTTTTCGGACCTTGTTCCTCTGTGAACGGGTGCAGAAATGTGTGGGATAAAAGTATTAGATTTCACACCCCTCCATCTCTTCTAAGCTTTACCAATTCACACTTAATACATACCTTCTACTGTTAGCCTCATCTGCCTCTTTATTCCATTCTTGAAACCCTTATTATGCTTTGAAGTTTTGCAAGTTATTTTTTATGACAGCTTGCTGCAACCTCTGTGCAGTCCAAGTATGATATTGATTATATACACTGCACATCTGGGATTGGAAGTATTTTTTAATACTGGTTCTTACTTCCCAAACTTCTTGTAAGTTTTACAGGTTGGGCATTGGTGATATATTTCACCTGCTTTTGCTTTTTCACAAATCATGTGTACTATCGGCAATTAAAATCTCAAAGGGCTGTTTGCCATCTTTCCTCCTGAAGCTTTGCTGACAGTATGCGAAGCTGGCTGTTACTCCTGGTCAAAGCTGCGTCAAAGGGGCTGCCCAAGATGTCTTAGCTATGCCATCAGGCATCCCCTGGGTTTTCATTTAGTTGCGTTTTCTAACCCAGCACCTATGGTATGAAGGAACCTTAACGTGGGCTCCATCCAGTGCCTTCCTGAGCTATCAAATATAGAAGCTTTAAGGATCAGAGTAGTGTTTTGCTCTCGCTATCTCAACGCTTCCCATATTTGAGAAACTGGCTACTGAATTTGTAATACTGCAGATCTTCTGGGTCTCTGCAGCTACACTGCAGATGTTCCTTGCGACTGCTTGCTGTGGTTTTCCCAGTCCAGAGCTATGGGTTGTCTGTTTGGACTCCTGCAGCAGGAGTGACTTTCATTTTCCTCTAAGCATATCAGAATTGCCCTACATTTTGTTTCCAGTGTTCTTGAATGAACACTGGCAAAGACTTACAGCTTTGAATAAGACATTTACAACTAAATATATCTGAAGTCAGGAATTCTTGTACTGGAAGAAAATGTTTCTTATTAAAATGTAAGCTCAGTTAGCTAATTACTGTAGCCTATGACTTCAGCAGTGATCAGATCAGAGTGCTTTTGATCTGAATAGTTTACGTATTAATGCTTTTGATTGCTGCTACTTACAATTTAGCAAACACATTGCTGCAGATGTGATGGAAGAGGTATGTAATACCTGTTATGGCCGTCAAAGATGCTTCAGTAAATGGCTGTCTAACACCTTACACCAGAAAGAAGGTAAGTTTACCAAAAATAATGAGATAGAATAACAAGTGCAACTTGTATGAGAAGCTTTAGCATGAATCTAAATCTTTATTGAACTGTTGCTTTTACTTATTTGCACACTTTTGTGTGCAGAAAAAAATGGAAGTATGCAAATTACTTTTGTTGTTTGTGTGGGGTTTTGTGTCTGTGGTTTTTGGGGTTTTTGTGGGGGGGATTTTTTTTGGTGGTGTGTGTGTTTTTTTTTGTTGTTTTTTTTTTTTTTAAAAAACAGCAATTATTTCCTAAATGGTAGCTTTCACTCAGCTTCTAGCAGGTACAAAAAGGAAAGTGCCCAGAGCTCTCATACTTCTTTGCTGCTACCTCAGCAGCATTGTAAGGCAGGTACTTAGTTGTTGCTATTTCTAACTCATTTCTCTTGCATGTAGTGTCCTGATAATGTCATAACATTATGACAGGTGGACAGAAAGAGTCTGCTTGCAAGCTCTGGTCCTGTTGAAACATAATGTAAGTAAATCAGTTAATGCCCATTCGAGACATTGTTTTGCCATGCCCTAAATTGTGTGCAGGACTCCTCCATGTGCCATCCAAAGAAACAAGTATCGAAAATAATTTTTGAGATAGCTGACAGAGAAGCCTTAGGACAGGTAGTTTTTTTCACCAGTGTCTTTAGTTTCTATTAGACTTAAATATCCTATAGTAGTCCAGTTTGCTCCTCTGCTAAGCTCAGGAGTTGGCTGTATAAAGCGGTGCATCATACAGAATTTTTACCGCTTGCTAAAGTGTAGAGTCTCCTCTGTTCTCAATCCTGCTTCGTTCCCCACATGTGTGAACTGCTTATGAGTACAGCTATGCTCAGAGACAGAGCTTTTATACTGATTGAAATCATGGCAGTAAGCTGAAGGTAAGACAAGGTCAGAGATGTTATTTCTAATTAACACAATTATAAGCTAATGATAAACCCGTCACTAGTACAAAGAATCACTTTTATTAATATGAAGCAAATTTAATTTGCAGTGCAGTGTTTTGGCAACAAGAGGTGTGCTTTGGGATGCAGATTTTTACTCCACTGCTGTCACATACTTGAAAGCAAAGGAGTCAGTTGAGAAGGAGGATGTAAGATGTTTAAAGCAATTGCAATAATACCGTTTTCTGATGTATCAGAGTCTGCACTTTTGATGGCCATCAAGAACTGTTAGGCTGTGCCTGCTCTGGAGTAAGCACAGATCTTACAGAGCTGTGCTGCTCCGCCGAATGCAGGGGATGTGTGCATTATACCACCTAAGGATCTGTCTTCAGATACCATGGGTATCATCTACAGAATGTGATCTAAGATGCTAAAACTTTGACTACAAGCCCAAATAAAACACACTTGCTTTACCTTCTGTGAACCATGAACTGCCATGTGTAGGTCTCGTGCTGCCATATTGGTTTGATGAAATGTATGCACTCGCATGTTCCTCCCATCAGAGGCAACGTAACACACCTAAGAAGAGGCTTGATTTGCAGTCTGTGGCTTTTGCATCTGTTGTTGCCCACGGGACTGTGAACTTTCCAATAATTCAATGCCGTGTTTTCAGAAGACTGGGCAGTGCAGAATGTAGCCTCCTTCGGATGTGCCTGGAGCAGGCTCCCGCAGGGATCCTGCCTGGCATTCAATGCAGTCTGCA